GTGCTTTATACTGTCAGTGGTCTACTATTTAAATGTTTTTGTAGTGGTTGGTAATGGACATCCTTTTTCATATTTAGAACTTCCTTAATGATCTCTTCTAAGGCAGGTCTAGTGGTAGTGAATTCCCTAGGCATTTGCTTGTTTGAAAAGGATCTAATTCTCATTTACTTATGAAACTTAGCTTGGCTAGATATGAAATTCCTGGTTAATATTTCTTTTAAGAATGCTAAATATAGGCCCCCAATCTCTTTTGGCTTGTAGGGTTTCTGATGAAAGGTCCACTGTTAGCCTGATAGGGTGCCCTTTGTAGGTGACCTGCCCTATCTCCCTAGCTGCCTTTAACATTTTTTCTTTCATTTTGACCTTGAAGAATCTGATGACTATGTCGTGGGGACATGGTATCCTGGGGATGGTCATCTTCTTGTATAGTATCTCATAGGGGTTCTCTCCATTTCCTGAATTTGAATGTTGTCCTCTCCAGTGAGGTTGGGGAAATTTTTGTGAATAATATCCTCAAACATATTTTCCAAGTTGCTTGCCTTCTCTCCCTCTCTTTCAAGAACACCAATGAGTGGCTGATCTGTTCTCTTTACATGATAATTCTTTACTGATTTTTCTTTATTTTCGTCTGAGTTATTTTTAAGAACTAGTCTTTGAGCTCTGAGACCCTTTCCTCAGCTTGCGTTTGTATTATGAAGTTCTTGAAATTAATTATTCAGCTCTATCAGATCAGTTTTATTCTTCCTTTAAATGACCATTTCATCTTTTATCTCCTGTATCATTTTGTTGTATCCCTTAGATTTCTTTGACTGGGTTTTGACTTTCTCTTGGATGTGGATGATCTTTGTTTATCTTTATTCTGAATTCTAATTCTGTCATTTTGAACAGGTTAAGAAGCATTTCTGGGATGCCAGTGTGGTCTCTGGAGGTAAGAAGACACTCTAGCTTTTTGAGTTGCCAGAGTTCTTGCATTGTTTCTTTCTTATCTTGTGGGCTGATGTTCCTTTAGTCTTTGAAGTTGTTGGATGGCTTATTGTTTTGTTCTTTGATGTCCTAGGGGAACATCTCATTTTGGTATAAGGTGAGTTCAGTTGCCTGGGTTCCTATCTGGAAGATTTTAAGAGGCCAAGAGTCAGTTTAGTACTCCTGTTCTGGATGCTCTAACTCTGCAGGACTGGTATCAGGCCCCCACCTTTGTTCTCTGGCCCCTGAAGTCTAGGAACCTACTGTTTTGGAGGGGCTGAAGTATTCCCAGTCTGTTGGCCACAAAACTCTGATGAGTGGTGCAGGCCAAAGCACTTCATCAGGGCAGTGGCAGCAAGATCCATGCTCACTCACATGTGCCAGCAGCCATGGCAGTGCAGTGGTTTGTACATGCATCAGCTGGGGTGGGGTACCTGTGAGAGTAGGGCTGCAAGGTTCCTGCATGCACTTGCCCTAGCAGTGGGATGCAGGCAGGGGCAGAAGTGCCAATGACAGGGCCTGCCCTGGTACTGGCAATGGTGGGAGCAGGAGGCTACCAGTCTTTGTGTGCATGAGTTTGCACAGGCAGCAATGGTAGCATAGAGGGTCAGCAGAGTTGCCAGCATCCATGCATGCATTCACACCGGTGGTTGTGGTGGCACTGGGAAGGCAGGGCTGCTGTTGTCTGTGTGCTGGTTTGCAGCAGCTGCAGTGGTAGCACTGGGGTGGGGGCAGAGTTTCTGGTGTCTCTTCATGCATTTGTGCCAGTGATGGTGTTGTGGGGGTTGCAGGGCTGTGCACCCACTGACACTGGTGGCAGTGTTGGGAGTGGGGGTGGGGCCGCTGGTGTCCATGTACTCTCTCACACCAGAAATGGCAGCACTGAGGAGAGGTAGGGCCACACATTGCGCTTATGCCAGCAGCAGAAGTGGGATATATGCACACACATGAGCCATAGGAGGAGAAGAGGCAAGGTCCACCCACAGGTGTGCACTGGCAAAGTGGTAGTGGGGTGGCCATGGGCAAGTGCAGGCTGACAAAGTGGCATTGGGGAGGCTCTGGTCGGGGGAGGTTGCAGGTGGGCTGATGCATGTCAATAGGGGCTGCCCTGCTGGAACTCTCCAGTGATCAGGTGACATCTGCCAGCACAGCAGCTATGATGAGATCCCCCAGGAAGCACCCTGGTTTGGCATCTAAGGCTGCACTGCCAGCTAGCGTGGCCAGGCTGGAGCCTCAGGAGAGGCCAGCAGACAGGGGACCACTCACACTGGACTGGCCCCAACTCATGGGTAAGACCACTGTCCTCTGTCTAGGTCTGACAGTCACCTTATGGCCAAGGTCTCCTAGAGGAGCATGGTAAGGCTTGGGGGCTTTGCATCCCTGGCCATGCTCCACTGCAAATGTTTCTGCACCAAACCCTCTGGGCTCTGCCCAGGATGCAGCCCTGTTCCTACTACCTCTCTAAGAAGTTCTTCCTGCCAGCCCAATTGTCCATGAGGGTTGTGAGGTTTCCTGCTGCCTGGATTATAAAGGCCCATGGCAGGAGCAGGCAGTCTGTTCAACCCCTTCCCCAGGAGCTGCTGGAGGCCAAGAACAAGTGTGGGTGCTTGGTAGCCCTGTGCAGGGTGTGCAGCTTGCTGACCCTTCAGCCCAGCATCTGCGTTCTCCCTCTGCCCACTCTTAATCTAGGGTTTTTAGGTATGGAATCATATTGTCAGCAAAGACAAAGAGTTTTACTTCTTTTCCTTTTTGGATGTGTTTCTTTTGCCTGATTCCTCTGACTAGGACTTCCAACTTCTATTTTTTAAATATGATTGTTAAAAATTTTGACTGTTAAGTGTGAAAGTGTTAAATAGCAACTGTCATGAAATTAACAAAATTAAGATGTTTCAAGTTGTTTCAAATATTAAAAAATAGCTTTTCTTTTTTTTAGTTTTTGGTTTGTGAGAGGACAAGTAACTTTTAATCTGATTCAGAACATGTCTTTGAAAGAAGAACTATTTTGGAACATAAAAATTTATGCCTCCATTTTATAAAACATAGTCTTTTTGCCTGATAATTGACATTTAAGTGGGGAGAAAAATCTCTAAGGCCCATTTCCTAACTATAACCTTTTTTTTCTTTCAGTTGCTGACACAACACTTTATGCTTAAGTTAAAGGTGACCATATGTTTTTAAAGCTATTAAAGCAGATTTCAATTTGCTAAATAAGCCATTGGAGAAGCCAATATTAAATGTAAAACTTTATTGAAATACTCAAGCACAATATCTAAGCTCAATGTAAAATCTTCAGCTGGCTTATAAATTACTATTTATAACAAAAAAAGTGCTACAATATAGTTGATAGTACTATATTTTATAAACAACATAGTTTCTACCATCACATCATTTAACTTGATGTCTGCTCACTATAATAATACATAAGCATGATTATAACACACATAAACATTGAGTTTTCCAGCATTAAGCAAAGTGAGATCAGACATAATAAAAAATTCCTTTAAGTTTACCTTCAGTAGATTCATCTCATTTTCTTGTCATCATCAAAAGCAAAGTTAAGTGTTTTCAAGAATGTTAGATTATTACTATAATCCAAAAGAAACTCTATTCTTTTGCTATCTTCCCTTTTTACATAATTCTAGTTATGTTGGAATACATTTAAAAAAAAACGAACAAAAAAGCAAAATAATAAAATTTTTTCTCTAAAACAACTGAAGAAAATACAACATTCCTCTCAGGAACAGGGCCTTCCACAGCAAAGATTATTGAGAAACCTGTAGCCCTAGGAAGAATTACTGGAGTCTCAATGGGCTTGAGGATAGGCAGGCACCACCAGGGAAGGGGGAGGCCTGGAGAACTTGACTAATGACCATCCTCATGTGTGGATTCTGATTAGCTGCCCCCACCACCTTCAAATTTGAGTCACTGCTTTAAAATGGTCCTCCCAGAATGAAACAGAAAGAGTTCTGCCAGCTGCCATACACAAATAAGAAGATGAATAAAATACATATGTATAATCCTTCCTTTGGCTGTAAAACAGCCAGGACTTGAATCAACAAGATCTGGAGGTTGTAATAACACCAAGAGAGACAGCACACAGAATTGGGCTCTGGTTAAGGGTGGAGATCTGGCATCAGGCTGCCTGGATGTGAGTTGCAGCTCAGTCAGTGCCTGGCTGGGCCAGTTAAATTACTTAATCTTTCTCTGCTCTGATATCCTCCAGCATAAAATGAGGATAATAAGAATACCTAACTGCATGTTGTCAGGATGAAAAAAGAGGAGCACAGAGGGCCCTTCGAGTTACGTGTGGCTCTCAGTAAATGTTAACTCCTATGATTATTATGATGTCTGTAGCATTCAGTAACTGCAATATGGGCAAACCTCTCCAGTTACGGGTGCAAGTGGCCTCATCGTAAAATGGGCAACAGTTATCTTTTATTACATTGAATTGGTGGGAGATGGAAGCAGGATTGGGCCATCGAATCTCCTGAGGCCCATTTGAGTTCTGAGACATAGTTATTTAGCAGAGAAATCTTGCAATCAACGCTGAGGAAACTCTGCCACAGAACAAGCTGGAGAGGGCACACAGTGTGCCATCACTGGAACAAATGACTTGCAAGTAACCATTAAGGTTCCAAATATCATTACATTTCCAAATGTAGCCCAAAGTTATGTAGTATGAGACCAATGCTTTCCTCGTTATTAACACTTCTATTTGTCCCCAGTCCTGAATTAAAGGTGCATAGTAATTTATAGAGCCCTAGATCTACCGTGAATCCAGCAAAGTGAACCATTTTGGAAAAATGAAAGACAAGAGAGAAGACAGGCAGTATAAATAATACTACTGTCAACTGTTTGAGGTGGACGTCTGCCCACTCACTTCTCATTAGGCATCTAATCTAATTTTTTAAATGTTACCCCACCTCTGTTTAAATACTTTACTCTTAGATATTGGTACAACCAAAAGCTCTCAGGGAAGCCAGCCTAACTCCTAAGACTTACTTCTTTGGGTTAAATGCCAGGGGGGCTAAACATACCAGCTTCAAGTGTGGTGAAGTTCTGACCACTCCACTGACTCCATTTCCGGAAGTGGCTGGCATCAGCACAGCGTACTTGGGCCATATACTCTGTGGCAGGTTCCAGTTCACTTAAGAAGTACTCACCATTCACCTTGATGGAAACATTGTACTGCTTGATCAAAAAAGAGAAGAAAGAAAAGAACAAGACAGAAGCATTGATGAGTGTATACTTTTACGAAGACGAACCAGGACATAGCATATCCTGATCTGGAGTAAGATCAGTTCATCTTTGAGGGAAAAAAAAAATCTCCAAGGCCCATTTCCTAGCTGTAAAAGTCTATAATTAATTTCATGGACTTTTTAAAACAGATGACCCACACCATTTGAACCTACACAGAAATAAGAGTTTAAAGTGATTTTACTCACTGGTGTCTCTGTTCAGGACAAAAAGGAATTTTTGAAAATAGAAAATTAAGCAGGCCCTTACTTGCATCATTTTTCCTTCACCATAGAGTTCAATCTGACACAAATATGTGAAATCCTTCTTCATGGAGTGCACCTTCCAGGTCATTTTGGCATTTGTGGCATTTACATTTTCAAAGTTGACACTAAAAGGATTCATTGGATAAAAAAAAAAAAAAAAAAAAAAAAAAGAAAGAAAAAGAAAAAAAAATTCAAGCATAGACCCAAAAAGACATTTGTAATAGGCAATTTATTTCTTCATTTATTTGTTTAACAAGTATTTTTTGTTTACTTTTGAGAACATGACAAATAAGAACTTACAGACAAGATAGAATAAGCCAACCACAGCCTTGCTCACTCAATGATTCTACTACACACATTGAACAAAATACAAAAAGAAACTACCTGAGACTCCTACAATTAAACACAAGTAGGCAAACCGTGAAGGGGAGTCAAAACTTCAAGAAGGTGGTTCATGGAGAGAATTTTAACAGAACTCAGAGTCTAACCCAAATAACATTAACAATGTCAAGGATATAATCCAAAATATGCAGAATGTGCTAGGAATGGAACATCTTTAGCTGAAAGGGGACTGGCCAGAACAGCCCAGGCTCTGTTCCATCCATCTGTCCTTTAATGCTTTAGCACAATGAGTCATGTGTTGTCAGGATATAAAATCCAGGATAGGTGCTTCTGAGGTCTCTCAGCTGTTGCACAAGTGAAGAACTCAGAGATAAGATTCTGTTTGACCTAGACAGCTCTCTGCAGCCTTGGGGACCAGCCAGCAATAAATCTGAGACTTGTGTTGTCCCCTGCTGCCTATCTGATAGTAATAAATCCACTTCATGTAACTTGTTGTATATGAGCACATTCTGTATCACTGGACTCGGACAGTTGATAACCAGTGCACAGAGACAGCGTGCTTCACAAAATTGGCACAGCAAGCAGGATTCAATCTGACAGAACAATGGCTCACTGGTAAAGTAGACGGGGCAATGCCCTATCTCATACCTGGCCTGTGGTGGAGACATCCGACTAGCTAGGTGTTTTATGGGGAAGAAGCAGTGATAAGAGAAACACAGGTCACACATACACCCTGAGAATGTGGGTGAGCTGGTACATGGATTGCAGCAGGAAAGAAGTGTGGAAACAGGGGAGTTTAATGCACATATGTGATTCCTCCTTCCTGGGTATTCAGATGCATCTGGAGGCATCTGAGAGGGAATTAAAAAGAGGTCTTCTGATGGTCCTTGAGACATCTGAGAGGGAACCAGCATGCACAAAGCAAGTCTTCACAGAGAAGGAGACTCAAGATCCAAAGGACACACATGGACACAAGCAGTAAACTCTCAAGCAACCTGGCTGGTGTGTTTGTTGGATAAAGGGACACTACAGACCCAAATGGTGCAGTTAGGGTTGGGCCCAAAGTCTCTAGGTGCCTACCGAAGGTCACTGGCCTAATACTCTTCTCAAGAGAAAACAGAAAAAGAAGAAAATGCAGACTTTTCTGGGATTCTTGGATATTGGAACCCACATGACAATATTTCCTGGTTCTTTTAGGTAAAAAATTAAACTGATGATATTGGGAGGTTTTCAGACAAACATAGTGACCCAAGATGCTTATCTGGTTGTGGGCGGGGCCCATTGGGCCATTTTAGGTGCGAGTAACCATGTTTCCTATCACTCAGGGCACCATCAGCAATTGGCATTTTGGCTGTTTAGGGACCAGAAGACCACCTCCATCTGAAAGGGTATGTTCTCCCAACACAGCTAAGGATTTGAGCCATAACAGTGGGGCATATCCACTTCTGCCTGCTACCTAAGCTCCTCAAGTTCCAATGGCTTATTCAACAAACGTAGTACTGTTATACATACTGTATGGAGAATAGGACATTACTTTGTTAATTGAGGACTTAATACAGATATAAATGTTATAAACCACCCTCTCACAATATTTGGCCAGTCACAAAAGGCCCACCAGGGCATGGAGACTAACGATGGACTATTGCAAACTAAATGCCAAGGCCACTTAAGCTGAACACCAAAGAAGTATCCCAGATATAGCCAAACAAGTGATGCCCCTTGTGGCATCCTCTAATAAAAATGAGGCCAGCAGCTGGTAGGCCTCTTTGAGTCCTGGAGACCACATGTACCCAACCTAGATGTCCTTTTGCTCTCTTTAGTCAAGGTTACGGCAAACCCACCAATTTTAAATGAGGTTCTTTGTGGCAACAGGCCTTGGAAGCCACTCAGCAAGTTGTGGACCAGGTACTGCTTTTAGAATCCTTAGAGCCTGCTAGCTCAATAAAATTACAGACATCCAACACCTCATGCATGCTGATAGTAGTCTCTGGGAAGAAAAAATCCGCCACCGGGATGTACCAGCCTCTCACATTTTGGACACATAAGTTGCTTAGGCAGACCCCAGACTGCTTTTAAACAGCAACTCCTTGCTTGCTACTAGGAACTAGTCTCTGGACACTGAGCGTCCTATGGCCAGAGCACCAAACATGACACTACAACATGAAATGCCCATCCATACTTGTGTGCTTGCAAACTTCACCAATCAAATTAGGCTCAACAGAGCTCAATTATTAAATGAAACTGGCCCATTTAAGATCATGTCCAGCCAGGCCCCATGGGACCAGTAGGTTTCATGAACAAATGGCTAGCTAATTAAAAGTGACCAAGTAACCTGCTGAGGATGTTTTGGCTCCTCCTATGGATTCAAAAATATGCCTACCAATGCTTTGGCATGGTTTACTGATGGTTCTGACAAACTAAAAACAGATGGGGTTCATTGGGCTGTCACCTTACCATTTGGCCAACAGACAGCCAACTTTAGACTGAGACTGGATATGGAAATTCTATCCAAACTACATGCAGTGGCAATGGCCATGCTGGCCACCTTTCCACCATATCTTGCTATATTTTCACCAACTCACGGGCCATTGCCAATAGCCTAGCCATCTTGTCAGAAGAAAAACAACTGAGTGACTGGACTGATTAAGGAATCCCCTGTGTGGGACAAGAATTATGGCAAGAGCTTGCAGCATGAAAGTTGTCAGAATCAAAATGGAGTCATTTATGTTAAAAAGCAAAATCATGAAAAATGGAGCCAGGTAAGGTCATGCAGGATGGGCTCTCTTATACGAATGTCTGATCACAAAACTATCATGAAACAACCGGTAAGGGCCGCAGACATGCACGAAGGTCAGTACAACCTTACACACACACATAAAATACTTCTACAAGGGCACCTGTCCAGCAACTGGATTATCTAACCTAACACTGACACCACTTTTGTTATTGATACTTGTAGTCAAAAATTATTAACTGAAAACATCATGTAATCCTTCTCATTTTTTCTTTAAAAACCTTTGTCTTTGTTTATCTTCCTGAATATACACAATTTCTATGGTAAATGTATTTCCATTGCAATGTCTATTCCTGAATAAATATCATTTTCTTTTAGAGTCTCTCTCTCTGTTATTTAGATTGGCATAATGGTGTCTCAGAAGTGAGACTAAGATAGCTAAAGAGAAGGCTCCATCGACTGACCCACATGCAGGATCACCAAATTTAACAACTATACGAAAAAATCACCTTCATAAGACTGAAAAATCAAGTAGGCATTCATAGTACCTGTCTTTAATACTGTATCACTAAAAGATGCACTGAAAGGGGAAGAAAGATATTCCTGAATCACTGATGCCACCCCTTCCCCATTCACTGGCAGCAGCCCTGTGTCATGGACAGAGACTCTGTACACTTGGGAGAAGGAGAAGAGGAGAACACAGTGACCGAGAGACTTTGCATGGAAGTCAGGGCTGCCCAGTCACCAGAAAAGTAGGCAAAAATGGGTTGAACTCAGCTGAGAGAGGCTCTATTTGTTTGAAAATAAAGGAAGTGAACAAGAGTCTTCTGTAATTCAGAGAATTCTTCCAGATCTTATTCAAGACCACCAAGGAGGTACCTCTATGAGTCTATAAGAACCATAGTGTTACTGGGTTTGGGTTTCCCCTAATGAAGATAAGGTACAGATCACAACACTATATCTTTTTGATATGGATAATCTTTCTCAAGAAGGATGGGTACAAACAAGCCCAGACTGTGATGACTACAATAAATACTTAACTCTTCAAAGCTCAGACATTCATAAGCATCAAGACCATCCAGGAAAACATGACCTCACCAAACAAACTAAATAATTCACCCAGGGACAATCCTAGGGAAACAGAGATATGAGACCTTTCAGATAGGGAATTCAAAATAGTTGTTTTAAGGAAACTCAAACAAATGTAGAAAAGCACAAAGAAGAAATTCAGAATTCTGTAAGATAAATTTAAAAAGATATGAAAATAATTTTTTTAAACCAAGCAGAAATTCTGGAGTTGAAAAATGCAATTGACATACCAAAGAATGCATCAGAGTCACTTAATAGCAGAGCTGATCATGCAGAAGAAATAATTAGTGAACTTGAAGATAGGCTATTTGAAAATGTTATCAGAAGAGAGAAGAGAAAAAAGAATAAGAGTTATTGGCCTTAAAGATGAGGTAGAGAATGAGACAGTGGTAGAAACTCTATTCAAAGGGATTATAACAGAGAACTTTCCATACCTTAAGAAAGATACAAATACCCAAGTCCAAGAAGGTTATATAATACCAAGTAAATTTAACCCAAAGAAGAAGTCAATCTCGAGGCATTTAATAATCAAACTCCCAAAGGTCGAGGATAAAGAAAGTATCCTAAGAGCAACAAGAGAAAAGAAACCATATATAAAGCATAAAGATATATAAACAAAATATATATATGGAAGAAAACTTTTCAGTGGAAACCTTACAGGCCAGGAGAGAGAGTGGCATAACATGAAGGAGAAATAAAAACTTCCAGACAAACAAAAGCTGAAGGATTTCATCAATACCAGACCTGTCCTACAAGAAATGCTAAAGGGAGTTCTTCAATCAGGAAAAAAAATAGGATGTTATTGAGCAATAAGAAATCATCTGAAGGTACAAAACTCACTGGTAACAGTAAGTACACACACACACAGAGCAAACCCCACAGAATATGGTAACACTGTAACTGTGGTGTGTAAACTACTCTTATCTGAACTAGAAAGACTAAATGATAAACCAATAAAAAATAATAACTTTTCAAGACATAG